TCGTAGCCCTATAGGGAGCTCCACCAAAGGTCCCAGCGGCACCGCTCGCATGCGTCCGCCACCACCCTGCACAGCCCTTGCTCCCTGCCTGCGTTTCACCCACCCAGTACAGCGTTTCGTGGCCCCATAGAGAGCTCCACCGAAGGTCCCAGTGGCACCGCTCGCATGCGTCCGCCACCACGCAGCAAAGCCCTTGCTGACCGCGTCTCACCACACCAGTAACAAGCGTTTCGTGCCCCATAGGGAGCTCCACCGAAGGTCCCAGTGGCACCGCCCGCATGCGTCCGCCACCACCCAGCACAATTGCGGCATTCACAACTGCATATGGTTGGGTCCTTCGCCAGGCTAATTTGATTATTTTTGGGGTATCTTTTATTCTTCGTCGAAAATCCCCTTGTAGGGGGACACGCCCGACTCAATCCTGGACCTTCAAGACAACAGCGGGGACGAAAAGCAGACCTCCGGGAAGGGGCCCAGAGGTTTGGGACCCATCGGCATCGAGCGGAGGTCCGGGTCCTGCGCGGCCTCAGCCCTTCCACGCCGGGCATGCGACTGCCCACGTCCGCCGAGCGGAGCACGCGCCGCCGGAGACCTCCGGTGGCGTTGGGCACGGATGCTTTCCCGCCCCGTGAGGGCGGGAGCTACAGTAAAACGACGCGAAGATCGGGACAAAATCGGATCGGGATAACTCGAAATCTCTGAGAATGTATTGGGCGCCGCGGCCGCTCCAGAGCGTTCCGGAACGCTCTGAGAGCGCTCCGGAACGCTCTGGAGCGATTTATCCCGATCCTAGCCCTGTTTTATACAGTCAGCCCGCATAGTAATGATGAGCATCTTTCCCAAGGCTACCCTCGCATCCCTGCCCTCTCGGCCCATCCTTGGCCGCCTTCGCTGGCCGCGCCCCGCCCGCAAAGGGTCGGCATGGCCTTCGCCCTCGCATCCTTATCGTGCGTCCCCTCTGGTACGGGCCGAGTGTACGGGTGCTTTCCTGCCCCGTGAGGGCGGGAACTGTCCACTTCCAGAGGCCCGCGGGGTCCCAGGCGGGGCGTTGCCGACATCGGCGGACGCGCGGGGTACGCCTCTTCGGGCGCGGACTCTTCTGGCTCCCGTCGGCGGCGCGCCGAGGGGGAATGGGGCGAGGGGGCGGGGTTGCCCAGAAGGCGGCAGGGCCTCTCAGGAGTCTTGCAGGGGGTTCCGCGGGGGGGGGGGGGAGGCACATTTTTTGTTATAAGCCATGTCTGAAAAAAGACGGAGCCCCCGAACAAAACCCCCAAGTAACCCAACTCAGGGTTGTTTTTCTGTTGTTTTCCAGGGGGGGTCCGGGGCCCCACATTATTTCGGAGACCAGCATTTACTTCATATTCGTTTTTGTTGAGGAACGGCCGTAGTATGTTTTAAAAAGACTTTGTTCTTTTAAGTTGTACATTCGTTCCTTTTTTGAAAAGTCAGTCTTCAATTAGACGCCGCCGTGGTATTCGGAGACCGTACCCCCGAGGAGGAGTCCGCGGTTGCCAGAGGTGTCCCTGGCTCATGTCCCTTGCTCCTTGCCTCCCACAGGCGATCCTCTCGCGGCTGCCCTGGCCAACTTGACCGGCTCCAGAGGGCCTCCAGGGTGGCTCCCGAAAGACTCCGCGCAGGCATCCGATTTCGCCCGAAGCCCTCCGAGGGCTTCCGAAGACATCTGGACGCCTTCGGAAGGTGTCACGAGCGCCCCCGACGGCCTCCGACTGTTTGCGAAGGGCCGATGATACCAAAGAGCTCTCAAGCTGTGATTGCGCAATTTTTCCGCCTGGCTCCAGGACGTGTCCTGCGACTTCTCGATTCGAGCCTCGGCGGCTACGGTTCGCAACATATTCACGCAATGATGAATTTACGCATGCCTGCACACCTGCAGCAACTCATGCAAACCATGTACAACCGCGACCTGCAGTTGCAACGACGATGTAACGGTGCAGTTTTGTCATCGCAATCGAGTTTTTCTGTTACATCACGCTTGAGCCAAGCTTCTGTCATCACACTAGAGTTTTTCTCTCACACTACAGCCAAGCTTTTGTTATCAAACTTGAGTTGCTTTATTACACCCAAGCCAAGTTTATTACCACACCCCAATTTATCATTACACAACAAAAAACGACGCCCCCCGAGGGCCTCCGAGGGCCTCCGAGGGCCCGCGGGGGGGGCGGCCCGCGAGGCCGCCCGGCCGCCCGGCCCCCTGGCTATCGGTGGCCACGGGCGGGGCTCGCCCAGGTCGTGGCCCACGTGGCGCAAGGCGGCGCGCGCCAGCGACGACGCCGACGCCGACGCCGACGAACAACGACACCGACGACGCCGAGGTCGCCAGTCACGACGGCGACGACGACGCCGTTGACGATGCCGACGACGTCGACGACGATCAGGACTGAGACGCCGACGCCGACGTCGCCTGCCACGACGACGACGACGCCGCCGAAGTCGCCGCTCACGACGACGACGACGACGACGACGACGACGACGACAACGACGACGACGACGACAACGACGACGACAACGACGACGACGACGACGACGACGACGACCGCGATGGCGACGACGACGACGCCACCGATGAAGACGTTGATGCCGCCGCCGCCGGCGTTCATGTTGTCACGAGGTTGACGGCGCCGACGGTGATGGCGACGTCAACGCCGGCGACGGCCTCCGAAGGCTTCCGAGGGTCTCGGAGGGCCTCTGAAGTCCTCCAGACGCCTGGCGACTCTGACGACGACGTTGACGACGACGCTAGATACGAGCCAGACGCGTGGCAGAGCGGGCACCCCTGCTTCTTGAAAGGCACGGGCCTCGTGTATGGATGTCGGGCCGGCGCCGTTTGAGAACCAGCTTCTTCCTAAGAGGCCCTCCCCCCTCTCCCCACCCCCCTCCTGCGCGCCCCCAAGACGCGGAAGGATGGTGGGGGCCGAGGGAGAGGGCGGCGGGGGGGGGACAGCCCAGCTCCTCACCAGACTCGGCCTGACTGTGGCGGCTCAGGACGATGCGAAGATCGAGGCCTGACGGGTGGCAGCGACACCTGCTCACGCGGTGAACTGGCCTGGGGGCGGCGGGGGGGTCTCTGAGGGAGCAGGGGGGGGGGGCGGCGGGTGACAGGGAGGTGGCGGTGACAGGGAGCCGGCCAAGGAGGCGGGGGGCGGGAGCAGCCGATTCAAGCAGTGGCGA